CGGGGAGGCAGCCGGCCGGGGCGGGAGCCCCCGCGCTCCCCCGGGGTGACAACGCACTGACCTTGGTGCTTTAGTCACATCGCGCCTCAACGTTATGGGGTTAGAAGAAAATTCCTCATCATTTCTTCTCGTTCACCTCTCACTAAGAGCTACTTGCGTGGGTTTTGAAAGATCTGTTCTTCCGTCTTCTGGAAATCTCTTTCAAAGGAAGTCTTAAAAGCCCGTAATGCCTTGTACGATTTTTCACATCGCAGGTCAAGGAGCAAACTCAGCAAATGTTAAAAAAAATAACAGCAAAAAGAAAATTATCTGAGGTGCAGGAAACCTCCTGCACTGATGACCCCATTAGACCTTGCCTTGCTCGGACCATGACTCCACACAGCCCCTCGTGAGCACAGGAGCTTCCAAAGACCTTCCCGTGGGTCTCCTCCCATGGCTCTTCACTTACATTATGTCCTAGGAAACACTGTAGCTTCTCTTACAAGGACACAAACTTAATGGCTCCCTGTCATGATTAGAGGTCACAACTCGAGTGCTTTCTGTCTATAAAAATAAGCAAAAGGGGGAGAAAACTGCAAATGACAATGTTGAAAGGTGTAACATGAGTACAGCACAGACCAAGATTCAGCAAGATGAAATCTAACCTGCCCTCCAGTACAGGGCTTTGCTAGATTATTTCTTCTCCCCTTGCATCCACTCTTCCCTCCTGCTTTGCATTCACTCACTGTGAATATTTATTTTCTTACTTTTAGTTTTCTTTGCACTGACTTCTGCCTTTAAAAAACAGAGCAGGAAAAAAAAAAACCCTACAAGGAAGCAAACTATCTGGCAGAAAGACCAGAAAGCTCCCTGGCAGCCCTAGCACTTAGCATAAAACAATATGAGTATGTGAAAGTTAGCTGTCATTTCTGAAATTTTTAAATGCGATCCTTCTGCACAGATTCTGCACTATTTCAGTCGATACAGTTCATATGCCACTGTTGGGTTCATCTACTCACAAGCAAAAAATAGACCTTCCTAGTCTTAAGAAACATCTAAGAGAGTGAAATTCCAGCCAGATGATCCACCAAAATACATGGAATGAGCAGGATGGCAAACTCTGCAGGGAACTAAGAGGTTAAACCACCCTGCCCCAGGGATAATGAATTAAATTTTATTCCAGTGTTTAGGTACCTAATGGGTGATTCTTCCGTGCAGCAATACGTAGCAGCAGCCTAAGGAAAGAGCACGGCTACATCGCCAAATTTTAAGGGCATTTTGAGAGCTGTTCATATGCTGCCCATGAGGTCAAGATTCCTCAGAGATTTAGCAGCCTCCAGCCTTCACAACGTGCTTATGTTGCTTCCCACATGACTCCTGTGGCAGAGTTTCCAAAAAAAGAAAAAAAAAAAAGAAAAAAAAAAAGAAAAAGGAAAAAACCCCATCTCTCTGGCTGTCATTGAAGATGTCACATTTTCCTGTCTTTATATCTTATAATACATCAGCCAGGTGCTGTTCCTGCCAAAAAAACAAATCTTCCGGGTGCTCAAAATTGTAATAGCTTATATAACCATAGGGTTATTCTTTTGCTTTTAATAGTCATAAGACAGTGAAAAGAGGAGAAAATGTAAGTGTTGCCCACTAAGTGCTATGTAACAACTGCAGCCACTATATGCCATTCCATTTCACATATCCAGCTCTCTAAGCAAATAATGCTTCTCCAGCTGAGTTCAGGAGCCATTTTCACCTCTCCATCCCCCTTGCGAAGCCACTAAAGATGCACTTTTTAATGACTTTGGCATAACTAAAAGAAAACTTCATTCTATAAAAGGAAGCCTGGTTTCTCTCCTTATTTGGCACTAAAACATGTACTGATTGTGAACATGGCTTGAATACAAAGTACCTTGTAATTGAGCCGTATAAGCAGTTAGGTTTTAAGATGGCACTTTTAATCTTCCTCTCGCCGTTGTACAATCCAAAGACTATGATGACTTAAAATTCAGAGTATGCTCTTGTTTACAGCGCAGACTTAGTTGAAAAGCGTATTGTTTAGGAGCCATTATTCATCCATAAATTAAAATAAAAAGTAGCTGGAAGGGTTATACATGGCTTTCAGTGTTTTTTTTTTTTTTTAATGTTGAACTGCTGTATTATTAGCCTGCCATATTTTGAGAAAACACCTTGAAATAACAAAATGGTTATTTTACATGGGGCAGCGCAAGCCATCCCCCTCATCGTGGCCTCAACTAGTCTTTTTAAATAAAAAATCCTATTCAAGGCTGCTTTAAGATAGCATGTCCCCAGGGAAGGTTTCCTCCAATTGCCCAATAACTCGGAGATTGGCCTGGCTCCTAAATCCTTTCTAAAACCCATCTTTATTTTTTTCTCCCCTGATTTCATTGCTAAATATTCAGGCTACTGCTTTTTCTCCTGACATTACTAACTCTTGGTCATACCACTCTCCCCATTCAATACTTGTTTTCCACAGGGCTGTGACAAAGTAAAATCTGAAAAGCTATTGGACATATTAATAGAGGAAAAGATCATCCCTGATACTTCTTGAGAAAGCAACAGAGTCTGGAAGTGGAAATTCCCCAGCTAAAGACTGCAGAAAGCAGGATTGTAAGGATGCACCACTACCTCTTTGCCTGTTCTCTGCTCCTCTGTGGGCATTTGCTGCAGGCAACAGGAGATGGGACTTCAGCCTGGACGGACCCTTGGTCTTATCTCATCTGGCCATTCTTATATGGAATATTTCAGCCCAAAGGATTCCAGAATACATAACTACAGGGATAAATCTGCCCGCTTTCATGGAGCACTTCCCTTTAAAGAAGCAGGGACTGCTGTGGTGCCCAAAATATAATTGGGTGGGATAAAAAGGTACAGCTGGTATAAAAACTACACACAGGTGTGTTACATGGTTTTAGCCATTGCACTGAGAGGCAAGAGGACACAAGCACCTTCCCTGCCGAAGACCTTCTGTATGTGGCTTGCTGGCACGATCGTAACGTAACACATTGGAAATAAAATGAAAGTCAATTGGAAAATACATGTCAAACTGGTAGAGCAGAAGGTCCTTTAACTTGTTTAGACAAGACTGAGTTACTGAGAGAACTGAAAGATCAAGCTCCAGATCTGCACATTAACATACTTCCCCTCTCCACATGTGAACGTAGAGTTGGGAACTCACACCTTCCATGAACAGAAGTCCAACTGCTTTGTGAACAGTACTTGACACCAATGGAATTGATATGGCTAGTGGCTAACACTCCTCAGAGGCTTCTGCAAGGGCTGCTCTTGGCTTCAGGAGCAGAGGCGCAGGCCTCCCCACATGGGGAGCTGGGGAGCTGATGGGACCAGAGACTGCACGACCACGGCAGACAGAGACTGCAAATCTTCTTTCACGTCCTATATTATGTTCCCTGATGCACAGAGAACCTACATTAGAATTTCAGAAGAAAAGTGAAACCTGCCTATGCGTTGAAACAGGCTAAAAAGGTATTTAATTGTTTATATATTCAAAGGGAACTACTGAACTAATAAATGGGTTGTTATCCCTCTGAGGAGAGGACAAATGGCATATTAGCTCATTTTATCATTAAATTAATACTAGATTAGTGAGTTTAATTGATCTAAATTGTTTTAAGCCAGCTGAGGTTGGCATGTTAGAACCAGCTTGATGCAGCATGTCATAATTCATTAGTTATTTTCCTTAGCCAGACTGGAGATTTGAGGAGAATCAGGTGCACCAGAAGAGCAAAAAGGCTTAAGAGACCTACTGCTTTTCCCTGGCCATTTATCATTCCTTTTCTAGTTTAACTCTACTGTCGATCACCATTGCCAGCTAGAGCTGAGCCTGCCAATCATCCTGACATTCTATATTTCTCTTGTGAAAACTGTTGACTCTGATTTAAATAGAATTCCTCACTGTTATTTTTTACTACTTGCTATAGAATTTCTGCACGCTCAAGATGAATGCTCGTGAGGACTTCATTTGAACAGGAGTATGACTGAATTGATAAATCTGGAGACAAGTGCACAAGTAGCTGAGAAGTAAGAGACCTATGCACTACTTTATCTACCTGTGTGTGGGCTGAACACGCAACTTCATGTGTCACTGTCTCCACACCATTTATCTGGACTCAGCCCTGCAGTATGCTTGACATTTTACAGGATAAAGAGACGACCTGGTGACTATGGGCAGGATAAAACATCTGTAGGTGCCAAGCCACCAGCACCCAGCATATGGAGCTGTTGAAACTGCTGCAGGACTAGCGTGACTCCAAAACCATCACTAAAAAGAGGACTACTGCAGTCAGATGGGAAAGATCTGCCAGCTACGGAGGCTGTTTGAAGCTCAACAAACATGACGTTTGGCCGCTGTTGCTGTCTCCAAGCACAAAGCTGTAAGCACAACCAATATGCTCTGGGAAACGCAGCGTGTTTCAGCCTAGTGCCACGCAGGTGGGTGATAGTGATCTAAGGACTCCAGACCTGCAGCACTGCGAGCCTCCAGCCTCCATGGTCCTCCTCCCTAGGATGCGCCGGCTGTTCCCGGCTCCGAGGGGCTGCAGGGAAGCTTTGCTTGCCCGGGGCTCTGTGACGCCTCCGCGAGCGCAGGGCTGGTCTCTGGGTGGTGGCACTAAGCAGGGCATGGATGGAGGTCTTGCTGCGAGGGGCAGTCGCTGTTGCAGGCTGCCAGGCTGAAAACAGCTTTAGTCACTGAGGGAGCACCCAGCCATGCGCTCACCCCTGCCCTCGTCCAGCTGCTGGAACAGCAGCCGAGGTTAGGCCCTGAACACAGAGTAAGTGTTGGTCTGTTTAACATCTCCCTACCTTGCCCACAACAGCACCCACAGCTAATGGACTGTCAGGAGAAGCCATCCTGGACTGAAAAACAACCGTCCTCAAGAGACGGTTTCCTGGAGCATGGATTCCTTCACCCCAGTAGACTAGAGAAACAGTCATTACATAACTCTTGGCATCACATTTAAAATAAGCTGAAGAAAGGGCTGTATTACCTTGCATTGTCCCTCCCGTGGGACTTCAAGAAGTTCATATCACGGTACCTGGACAGGAATGCTACTAGCTGGTCATTCGTCCTGCAAGAGAAACAAAAAAAGATGTACAAAATACACTGTAAAAGCTACTCTCTCATTTAAATGCTTATTTTTCTCATTCGGGACCATTTGCAGACTCTGGAATGGGAACAGTTTCTGAAAAAAGCTTTCAAACGCTGCAAAACTTTCCTCTCTCCCTCTACTCGGGAAAGCATACATAAAAAGCAGCACAGCTTTATTATATCTTAATGAATTTCACATCAAATCTTGGCAAACGTGTCAAGAATTGTAACTGAGTATGCATTAAGTAATACTGCTCACCACTTTTTAAGTATCAAAATCCAGCTGTGAGATGACTAGATTGAAAATCCTACTTTACATGTTTTGCTAGATCTTTCCTAGGGAATTCATTCAAGAATCTGCCGGCATTTTCTTTCTCATAGTCCTTGTTACAGAGAAAAGGCCAAAGTTGGAATGCATAAAGCGAGAGAATTTGGATATAAAACCCCAATAAAATTAGTAGGAACAAAGGAATTTTGAAGGCTTATTCCAATTAACATGATTGGCACTTTGACACCAGCGTTTTCAAAATTTCAGCTGGCATGTCCAAGAATGCATTTGTGCTCGACAGTTTGAGTGGTCGATTATTTCTTTAACAATGGGGCAAAAATGTTCCCTAGGTCAGCACAGTTAGGAGAATAAATAACTGAATAAATCTTATCAAACAGTAGATGACTGTCTGACTTGCACTCAAAACCACAAGATTCAAATAGAGATAACAGCATTTGAGCAATGGCCTGCTCTGGATAGTAGGAAAACGAAAGATAAAACAGCTGTCAGTAGTACAGTATCTTGAAAACACTCCATGCCACAAGCCACAGAAAACCCAGTTAAACAAGACTCGCCTACAAAACGCTTGTGAGCTGTGGGGTCAGCTGCAACTACTCCAGAATGGTCTCAGGCTACTAACGTATCTTTGGATCTCATAATAACAAATTCTTCTGTCATCACAGGTAGCATTTCATTATTGAACCGATGAATACAGAACAAGTTAACCATTGATTTTGTCTGGCCCAAATATCAGCCTATCAGTCAGTGTGAATGACTGGTTCTGTCGGAGCTGCAGACCCTCCTTCTATGTTCACTCATGGGAGCTTTAATACCTCCCAGGGTCAGACTCTGCATCGCAATTTGGCAACCTCAGAAAACTGTTTTCTGTATAGTAAGCTGTGCAGATTTGCACATTTGCTGCTCCAGTGAGTCTCCATCTTCCTGGGATGAATAGGCATTTAGTGAATTTACTTAGCAATGCTTCCACATGAAATAGCTTCAATGGCTGACATCTTCGGGTGAGTTTTTAGGCACAGGCTGGCACACAAAGATGATCTTTAAAAATATAACAAAGTTTAGAAGTGATGTAGCTTTAACTTTCTTACAGGACAAAAATCAAATCGGCCAAAGAAATAATCCACACCGCTCAACAAGCCATCATCATTTAGGTGGCAACCCATATTTCTGTATTCAGTAGTGCTTTAGCAAATTCATCTGGACTCAGGGCTGCCAGACAAGCTTTTCAATCATCTCTTTTTTTAGATTACTGCTTATAAATGCCCACATGGCTTTTAGCTCTCAACACAATTAATAATTGACATTTTCTCATTTATTGAAAAACTTAGTGGCATCTTGGGTCTGCTTTTAATAAGTTATTAAAAAAAACTTACGCAGAAATTATTCTTCATTAATCAAGTATGCTTCTTTTCAGGTTTTGACAACACGAAAATAAAACACTGCATTTCCATTTGGGAATCCTTCTAGATTTGACATTTAGATGCATGGGTCAACCAATTCTGTGCTCACCACGGGAGGATGCAGAATTTCAATTAAGCTTTCATTCAACCCATTTGTTCTGGCCTTGATATCCTGAGGATGCTGAGCCCTACCTCCAAATTATTCCACGGCACAATATTAAAATCAAAGGCATTCCAACATGCCATCAGTGCTAATGCAGCTGCTAAAATCCTCCTCAGCTCTTGGAAAGCTTTTCACTAGGGCAAGTATTTGCTCCACGTCCCTGACCCGGACCCTGGCTCCTCGGCCAGGCCCATCTCCTGCTCCAGCGCGGTGCCCACGGCTCTCGTTACTCACAGGGTCCTGACACACTTTGCAGAAGAGCCTAAAAACCTGGGCCTCGTTTTTCTACCAGAAAGGCTAAAGCAGGCTGAGGTTTCCTGCTG